ATCAAACATATTCTGTTAACATCCAAAAAGAGAGTAATGTTGAGAAAGCACATTGAAGAATTCAAGTTTACACAATTGAAGACTTGGTAGAAGCAACCAAAACTAACCTCACTAATTTTTGAGGAAGTCTCGGCATGAACAGTTGACATGTCAATGTATCCTTTTCCAGGATTCATTTGCTCTAGAACACCATCTTTATCGATAACCACCTAAATTTGACCAAAACATGCATTATCATTGAGATACTCCAAATCACATGGTTATTCACATTAGGTAATGTTCCCCTCCCTAATAATCTATCACTGTTCTCAAGTTCTTATAACATAAACCCAATATAAACAAGGACAGGAAAAAAAACCCAATTTTCATACAAGAATATCATGAATCTGATAAAAGTATACTTTTGAGAACAGACAAATATTATCATGGAAAATAGATCAAGAATCCCTTATAAACACAAGTACTGTAAAACAATTTACCCGAGACAGAGTGCAATTCCAAACTTCTTTATCTAATGAATTCCAAACATATTTGGCGAAGCAAGTTCATTGATATAATACTTAGCATTTATCAGATATGCGTGCCACTAAAACAGTGTAATTTTTCACAAATGTACCTTGCAATCCTCATATTCTATATTTTTATGTGCTCCATTCACTCCAAATCCAGATAATATCTGCATCAAAGAATAAATGATGTTTATTTTTGATACTAAATGTAAAAGTTTGAGGTAAACCCACATCATGCTATACATTCAGCAGATTTTCTACCGTTTACAACTGCAAACAAAAAGCAAATCTGTGAATACGTTTGCATTACTATTTACCTTGAAAGAATATTTTCCCAGCCATGCACTCCCAATGAAATAAACACTACAAATCAAAGAAGCTGTTACAAAGAGACTGCAGAGACACGATCTAAGTCGGAAGGAAATTTTTCTAAATATTTGCTACCTGTGAGAACAAAAAATAAGAAACAGTTAACATCAAAAAGAGGATTCAAAATGCCTGTATATGGCCCAATAAGATCGTATAAAAGTAATCTTTTTCTGTTTATATAATAGGCAAAATTGTATCGATTTGAGGAGGTATATTCTTATTTGTATTTTATATAGGGTTTTAAGAATGATAAATTGCATTTTAACAATATGTGGTTTAGAATTGTAATCAAGAGCTTGTTAGTTTTTTAACAAATCCTAGATGGTATAGGATCTAGGACAACTTTGAGTTGACAAATAGCTACGCGATATAATATTCCAATTTATTCAAAATGTCTTTGAGTAGCATCTAGTTTTTATATTCCAAGTAAAATCACAGCGCTTTAGCAACTTATATACATTCAAGCATCTAACAGCTTCAGAAATTTCCTCACATATAGTGCAAGAAATTTTTTATACCATATCAATGATTTTCTTCTTGTCCCATGGCATTATCAACTAATTTTGTACTCTGACTCTACATATCAAGTCATTGACATTCAAAAAAACACTTTGAAGGCCATACTTAGCACAACAGTTTCTCGAGAACTTATTTAAGTTCAAACTTCAGAAACTGAGTGCTGCTCAGGGGTTACCCTACACTAAAAGTGCGTCCAATGCTATCAAGAAACACAAACAATATCTCGAATACGTGATGCTGCTCAACAAATTCATCTCACGTAATAAACAAAGTTAGGCGGAAAGATATAAATTCCAAGAAATTAACTGTAAACTGGAAAATTAAAACCACCACTTCAACAGATACATTAGAACAAACCCAAGCAGGTGGCGGCCAGAACATGTCGGAATAACCATCGTGACTATCAGTTGGCCCAATACTCCCACTCTCCACATCAAACACTCCGATACTGCGACTCTTCCACAGCCAATGATCCTCCCCGCCACTAAAGAACTCATGTGTAAAGAATATACAATTAACTTTACACCAATTATCCCCAAACACCACCGAAGTAGAAGCTGAAAATTTAAAACATCAAAATCTAAATGTTAATTAAAAATCGCCATTCCCATAAAAGCCAAAAAAATCATCATCAAATCACTCATACATCAGAAGAACGAATTATGAAGTTGCAACAATGAAGGAAACGGGGAGAAATTAAAAAAACTAAAAAAAAATTACAAAGAAAAATTCCTCCACTTTGGATAGCTTGCCTTCATCCAAGAATTTGAAAAGGGCAAAACCCGCTGGCGTTTTGAATAGCAGTAACATTCTTCTTGCTCTAAATCGCCGACCAGTCGACGGCAACCAAAGTCACTGATTTTCTCGAGCTAGGTTTTGGGGAAAAAAAAACAGCAAGTAATCGAAGCAGCGAATTTTTCAGGAATTTCTTGATTTCTTGCTATACTGGCGTCGGTCGCGAGAGAAGGAGAGATAGATATAGAAGATTTGAGGGTAAGATAGGGAGATTTCTTGCTACACTGCGTCGGTCGCGAGAGAAAGAGAGAAAGATATAGAAGATTTGAGGGTAAGATGGGGAGATGAAATACGTCTTGAATGAATAGTGAACAAAGAATCCCCTCTTTTAATAGAAGAGGGATTATTTCTGAAAATTTTTATAATTATTATTAACCCTGTTTACACTTTAAAAGTCTGTTTGGTACACATTAAAATGAGAGAATGCATTTTTTTTAAAGTAATGTGATGGAAAATATGTGGTTGAAAATTATTTTATTAAAGAATGTGTGATTGAAAATGAGTAGAAGAATGAGAATAAAAAAAATAATGTGAGTCAAACAGGGGCTTAATTTTCTATATTTTTAATATTCTTTTTAGTAATTAATTTATTGCATTCTTAATTTTTTAAATTAATTATACATAGTCCATAAATATTTCTCTTTTCTTTCATCAATATTTTTAAATTATAGACCTCACGGTTTCCCTACTGATGATTTCAATTTAAGGGGGTGTTTGTTTTTTATTTGAGAATTGATTCTCAAATCAATTCTCATTTTCAATCACACATTTTTCAATACAATAATATTTTCCATCACATCAATAACTTTTCCTTCTTTTTCAACTACACATTCTCCATCAATCTACTATTCTAAAAAACATTTTTCCAAAATAATGTGGCTCAAACCATAATAATGCAAATACCTGTATTCTTCCCCCAAAAATCTCTACCACACAAGCTTTAAGTAATAGTGGCTCTCCAATAAATTTGAAGGTTGATGCTACAAATATTGGATCATCTAGAACATCAAAAAAATAAAATAAAAAAATAAAGAAACATCCGATGTTTGAGAAATTTTTACAGTAGATGCAACTCGTGGATAAACAATATGTAGTATTTGTTTAAAGGCTTATGCATGGGTTAAGGGTCAAGGCTCTGGCACATTGCGACGACATAAAAATACTCATCTTAACGAAATAGAACATTTAGATCCTAGACAGACACAAATTACCTCTTTTAGAGGTGTTAGTGGATTAATTACATTTGCTAACTTTTCTTATTCATATGAATGGATGAGATTTGGAATGTCCAAATTTTTGACAGCAAGTGAGATGCCCTTCACTTTTGCAGATGATCAATACTTTGAGGAGTTCATGCAAAAATATGTTCAACCCTCTTATCGAAGTGTAAGTAGAAATACTACTTGTTCTGATTGCATGAAATTATTTTGAAATTATTTCATACAATGAAAGATAATTTTAAAAATTCATTTAACGACTATGATGGAATTATGTGTTTTACATTTCATTGTTGGTCCGGACATAATCACAATGGTTACGTTTGCGCCACTACTCATTATATAGACAATAATTGGTTATTACAAAAAAAATAAAATTTATTGCTTTTCATTTATTAGAATATCCACATAATGGTCTAAATTTTTGTGATAATTTATTACGAGTTTTTAATGATTTTGGTGTTTTAAATAAATTATTTAGTATTAGTTTTGATAATGCTAAGCAAAATACTGCATGTATTGACCTTCTGATTAGAACTCTTAAGCCTCAGTTTGATTCTAAATTATTTCATATGCGATGTGTTTGTCACATATTTAATTTTGTTGTCCAAGATGGTTTGAAATTAATAGAATCACAAATACAAAAGATTAAACAAGCAATTAATTATATTTCTTGTTCGAATTCTAGACAACAAGATTTTGGAAAAATTTGCAATAATTTTGGATCAAAAAAGAAGAAATTTCTCGATGATGTACCAAATAGATGGAATTTAACGTTTCTTATGTTAAAGTCATGTATTAGTTATACTATTGCTATTAATGTGTATGTTAATTTGAAGTACGACCAATTTCATATTGATGATTCAGATTGGGAACCAGCATTCAAGGTTATGAAATTTTTGAAACCTTTCTATAAGGCAACAAAGGCTTGTTTAGGGGTTTATTACCCAACAAGTTGTATTGTTCTTCAACATTTGGTAGAAATTGCTAATCAATTTTCAAGTTGTAGAGATGATCTATTTTTTATTGACATAGTTAGCGTAATGGAGAAAAATTTTGAAAAATATTATGAAAACATGCTACTTGTTTTTCCCGTGGTAGCAATTATGAACCCTCGAATTAAATTATTTGGGGTTCAATGTGCGATGGAGCAACTTTCAGAAAATTTGTGTTTTAAGATAAATCTTACGAATCAGGAATTAGAACGTTTTCTTAATGAACTATACAACTATTATTCTAGTAATTATAGAAACAATGAAACTGTACTTGCAAGTTCCACTGCACCCTCTAAAGAAAAATCGACTTTTTTTCTATGATAGCTCAGAAACGTCACGGTAGTTATTTTTCTTTTACAAGTTCAAGTTCAAAAAATAACACCAACACTACACATGCAGAATTGAAAATATATTATAATTTTGATCACTATAATTTAATTCTGAAGATGAAATACTAAATTTGGATATTTTACGATGGTGAAAGTTAAATGAATGATCTTATCCAATATTATCAAAAATGGCACGTGATACACTAATAGTTCCAATCTCAACAGTAGTATCCAAGTCTGCATTTAGTGTAGGTGGCAGAGTACTAGAGGAAAGAAGATCAAGGCTTAAGGAAGATATTTTGGAAGCACTCATTTGTTTGATTGGCTATTTGCTGAAAGGAGAAAACAAGACAAAATTATTAATGGCATAGCTGAAGATTTCAAAAATCTCACAACAAAAGATTGATTGACAAAGCAAAAAATAAGTTAAACAACTTAATACAATTAAGTAAGTGCCAACCTAATTGAGATTTACTTAAACTATATATAGATACAAATAATTGATAGTGAAGTAAGTGCCAACATAGATGGAACATACTTAAACTAGTATGTATAAAGTTGCAAATTATTTTTGTTCACTATTTTTGTTTATAAAGGTAGAACATATCTATGTCAGTTAGTACACAGTAGTAGAAAGTCAATGTAAATTACTAATTTAGTTTTAATAATAATGTAGGTAAATTTATTTATCTGTATTTTTATGTTTTCATTTGTTATCGATTATATGATTACAATAAACAAATAAAAATCAATTGAATTACAATGTCATATCATCAATAAAAGTATATAAATTAATAATTCAAAATTTCATTAAGGAAAAAAAGAAGTTAAACATACCTAAAGATTAAACAACTTTTCATTTATAATTTAGTCATGAAGGAAAAGGCTGCAGGCTGTTGGTTGTACTTTCACATGCCATCAATCATTAAATTGGCAATTAGAATTGAAAAATAAAAAAATTGAGCTACTAGCCTGTTGAAAAAATGAGTATATAGCTAACTTTGACATGATTTTTGAGTGGGATTCGTTTGACTATTTTGGAAAATCAAGGTTGATTTGTGTTCTCCTCCGTGAGCACATCGAAATCATATATTTATTTGCCAAAATTGATGCTCGACTGAATGAGAAATTGAAACTTAAAGTGTGTCACTTAAAAGGAGTTTTAATAAAAAAATTGAGCTACTAGCCTACTAGCACCCATTTTCACCTGTCAAATATTTGCCATTGACAAGGTAGGCATTAAACTTTTTCAAATTCCAAAGAACTTTAATAAAAATAAAATTTTGCTTCTATTCCTCACATTTTAAACTAAATAGACCATGTGGTCCTCACAAGATTTTATCCGACCCTTCACAGTGGGTAGCTTATGGTCTAATTCGGTCTTCTATAATATATTATGGTGCGGGCTTTATTCAGACCGAAAATCGGCATGGACCGAGTTGATAGCACTATCGGGCTCGTGCCGGTTAAGCTTACAGGTAGGCCGGTTCGGGTTGGCATATTCATTTTGACATGTCTAACGTCATCTAATTTGGGATTGTAATTTCAGTGAGCCTAAATAACATTATTCTTTTTTCAAATACTCATTTTCAATCACATATTCACATAATAAAACATTCTGCACGTAAATTCAAAATATTTTCCTACTTTTTGGTTACATATTTTCCAAAAATTCACTATTTCAAACATTGATTTTTCCAAATAATAGCCATCAAACATGAACTAAATATTCTTGAAATATATTTGACGTAAATAAACTCTGCAAAGATTTATTTACGGAACAATTCAAGAGTTTATTACTTTTAGTCAAGAAATAAAAGTTTGTAAAATGATCAAGCTTATTTTATGGAATAAAACATATTGAATAGTCATTGCAAATGAGTCACAATATCCCCATATATTAAAAGAGTCATTTGTG